TCCTCCTCCTCCTCCTCCTTCTTCTTTCCTTCCTACTACTATTAGGAGTGAAAATAGAATTTATGCCAGAGAACGAAGTGAGAGAATATGTGTGGACCCCTTAGACAAGATGACAGCGTATAAAAAGTGTTTGGTCCTGGAGTTGGGTGTGGTTGTGCATACTCATATTCCAGCACTTAGAATCATGAATTGGAGACCAGCCTGGGCTACAGAGAGGCATTATCTGGAAAAAAAACAAAAAAGTAGATCTTATAGGGTAGGAAATGTGCTCAGGTTACGTTGAACACCTGGATTCTCTTCATTGTCATATATGGGTCATTTCACTTTGGCTTTCAAGATTCCTGGTGAAATTGAAACTCCGAGTAATTCAGATATCCTGGTGCAGTTGCACATGCAAGCTCAGTGACCCACACTGTCTGTGGGTTCACAGCCTCCTATGGATGGAATGGGATGCCTGGCAAGAGTGTGTTGCTATGCAGCTTTGCAGTGGCCGTCATACTTGAGGCAGGCAGTCATGGTTCCTCTGCAGCTTAAGTTGGTTGCAATAGGTACTATGGTCACAGAAATCATGGTGGAATATCTTCAATGCAGCCTGTGAGGTAGATGTATTGGAATTGCATCCTTGGTGCAATTGGATAATCAGGGCCTTGTTTCGATTAGTCCAGGCACATCTCCATTGTAGTCATCAGTGTGTTAAGCCTTGTGATTCTAAATGTGTTTACAAAGCGATTATGGTTTTCATTCCCAGCTGGTCAGTAGTGCTGATTTGCTGGTGTAGTGTTGAGTGAGTGTGAAGAAATTTGGAGATCTCTGGAGCAGCACCAGCCAAAGGATAACCAACAGCTTGATTCTTTAGGGATGGAGGAGGTTGCTAGGATGGGAGGCACAGTAGAGGTGGGTGGTGGAGCCTGCTCCTGAGGGACAAAGGCAGTCCAGCAGACAGATTGACTTTAGAGTCTGGAGCTTTGGTTTCTTATGTAAGAAGAAAGAGTTTCCCACCTAGGAAATGTAGCTTGTTAGGATGTTCGTTCATGCTCCTTAGTTGAACTTTGGAGGGCCCTCCGGTGTCCTGGAGGTTCTCTGCTAGTCTCAGCAACACTGTCTTGAGGGAAGTCTTGTCCTGGTAAATGGCAACCTTGAGCCTGACCTCCAATTGGACAGCTACTCACTCTATCTGCACTGGTTCCAGGGCTAGCCCTTCATCATTCGAATAGTATAGTATTCAATTATTTGTGTTATATCTATTATTCCATCATCCAGCCATTTCCATCACCTCCTCACCCTGCTCTCGGCCTGTCTACTCTTGGTATCTGAGTGCTTTTGCTGCCTCCCTCCTCTGGCCACTTGTCTCTTGCCTTCACTCTGTTCCCTTCTTCAATGAGCTAGCCAAGGCCTATGCAGTTGACCTCTGCAAGGGATTGTGGGAGAAACCGAGGACTTTGTGTTCAGCTGCAGTATATTTTAGTGTGGGCTATGGTGATTTTACCATCTGACACTTCACCT